CATGGAATTGCATGGTATGGAATGGCATTGCATGGCACAGCATGGCCTGGCATGGTATGGCATTACATGGCATTGCATGGCACAGGATGCCATGGCACAGCCCAAGATAGCATGGCATGGCACAGGATGGCACAGGCTGGCTTAGCACAGCATGGCATGGTATGGCATGGCATTGCATGGCACAGGATGGCACAAGATGGCATGGCACAGGCTGGCTCAGCACAGCATGGCATGGCACAGGATAGGATGGCACAGAATAGCATGGCATGGCACAGGACGGCACAGGATGGCTCAGCACAGCATGGCATGACACAGGATGGCACAGAATAGCATGGCAAGGCACAGGATGGCACAAGATGGCATGGCACAGGATGGCTCAGGACAGCATGGCACAGGATGGCACAGGATGGCACAGCACAGCTCAGACCGGCTCGGCACAGCGCGGCATGGGCGCCCGCAGGAGGTGTCTGCGGCGCGGCGGGAGACAAGCTGGGACACGGGGCGCCGCATCGCGCCGTGGGGTGACATCACGGCGCCCGGGGCCGGCAGATGCTGGTGATAAAGTGGGGGGGTCGCTGGCGGCGGGGCGAGGCCGGGCAGAGCCCCACTCGCTGCCCAGCCCAGGCGGCCGGGCGCTTTGTACCCCCCAGCCTGCCTCCTCCTCCTCCTCCTGGCTGCCCCCCGCCCTGCCCCGGCGCTGCTGTGGGGCCAGGCCCACGCCGGCGAGGCTGCTCTCATCCCAGTCCTCCCAGTATGGAGCAATCCGGCAGCGCCAGCGTCGCGCCTTTGGTGTGGTGCCCGCTGGGGGGGTGGGGGGGGGCAGCATGGGTGTCACCCGCGGCTGCGCGTCCCTGCACACGGGTGTGTGCTTGCACAGGGCGGGGGCTGCACACGGGGCTGGGGGGGTGTTTGTGCACGGGAGGGGGTTGTGGTTTGCACACGCGTGAGCAAGTGCACGCTACCAGCCCCCCCTCCAGCCACGTTTCAGCCCCCCCAGGAGTGACTGTGCCCCAACCTTCGACGTGCGTGGCTGTGGGTCCTGGCAGGAGCGTGGGTGCCCCCCCAGAGCCCCCCCGGGTGCAGCCCACGGCCC